GCCAGTGTTTGATCCATGACAATACAGTATTCTGCCTCTCACTCCATGACTACTTAGCTTCTTTAGTAGCCTCACAAGAGTCTACCATCAATGTAACTTTCTTGTGTAAACAAGCCCCAGATTTAACAGCGCACACCGCTGTGAGACCCAGAGGCTGAGTCTCTCTTAAAGCTTGTTGCTTTAATGAAATGGGTGGCGGGGGGAGGTGATGATACTTTTCCTGCCATCGGTTGGCAGCATTGCTAGGCTTGGCAGAAGTGAGTTCTGAAGAGGGATTTGAAAGAAGAGTGTGTATCTGGTACACTTAGGGTGACCAATATTATTGAGACTGTCCCCATATTAGGGGTTTTGTCTTATATAGGCAACATACATATTACCCCCCCAATCCTGATTTTTCACACTTGCTATCTGGTCACTCTAGGTACACTGGGCCAAGCAAGGCATTCCAAGCACAGGGAAGGCAGGATGGAAAGGGCTCATTAAGAGCGGAGGAAAGGAAGGATACAATGTGGGAAGTTATTTGATTTATATGGTGAAAGAGACAAGAAGGAATGTGATAAGAGGAAGTAGGGCTGGCACAGAGCAAAGTCAAGGCAGCAAGGAGATGCTTTAAACATAACTCAGCAGCTGAGCTTCAATATCTGTACACACCTGACGGGAGGAGCAGCATTGAAATGCAGATAGCAAGCATCTGCTGTGCTGCAAAACAGTGAGTTTGTGCATGGGTGTGATGGGGGCAGCTCCATCCTTGACATTCCAGAGCCTTAATGCCAAACTGCTGCATGAGCGTGCCGAAAAAAGCCTAGTGTGGGTTGTATATGGGAATGGGCTTGGGGAAGGCTGCTGAGAAAAGCATACCTCAGAGTTCCCCCAATGTCACAGCTTCACCTGATCACTGCATTGATGGACATTTGGCAAACACAGCAATTTCCTTCACTTTGTTTTAGTGGAGGAAAATCTATAACAACAAATAAATGAATACGTTATTGTGAGGACAGCAATGACCAGGACTGCAGGAGTAGCAAGCACAGCTGTAGCCCAGTGCACAACAGATACCTGTGTTCCACCAATTCTCTGAACTTGGAGGTCTCCCACTCAAGGGCTGACCAGGCTTTAGCCTGCCTAGTCAGAGATCTGCCCAGAGCACAGCCCATGGCAGTAACTTTTGCTATGGTATCACCCAAGTCCCAGGAGACAAGATAGCAATTACAGGAATCAATCCCAGATTCTCCTGCACACTCAAATAGTAAAAAAACACAAAACCACACACCACACAACTTATCTGGCTGGGTAGCCAATCATTAAGATCAGACATTACTCAGATGTTACAGAGAAACAAGCAACCTAGGATGCCAGGTTTTACCTTTAGACAGGATCAGGCCTAATCAGATTAATAAGAACTTAAAAAAAAAAAAATTCTAAGCATAGAGCTACTACCCCTCCAACTGCAATTCACTTAGACACTTAGTCCCTTCCACATCTGGTATGTGCATTTGCTGCACACCACTGTGCAGGTGACATACAGGAACGAAGGGAAGTTGTTGTGGGGACAAAATGCTGAGAGAGCTCACCAAACTTTTCAGATGCGATAGAAACTTGCTGGGATGATTCAGTAGAATCCCCACGTCCAACCCCCCATTCACTCACTGAATCCTTGGTTCTGAAATAATAAGCAAACAAAGCTTCTTGTTTCTGTCTAGGCATTTAGATGGGCTCCCATCACCACAGCATCATTCCAGGTGAGATTAAATCAGCTGGGGAAAGGCTGGAGCCCAAGCCTCCTTTTAACAGGTAGTAGTTTTAATCATTCAGATTCCTTCCATGGTGTCTAGTCAATGGCTGAGCTTTAAATCAGCTCTGATTTATCAGAATGCAAAAAAGCTTCCCCAAAACGTTTTACAACATGAACATCCCGATGAAGCCATTAATGTCTGAACAGTTCTTCTTACATCCAGAAGATGTCAGCACAATACCAGTGCTTAAGTCCCCAGATCCTTAATTCCTTAAATAGCAGCTATTCTCTATTTCTGCCCCTCAGTTCTTCATCACTGACCTCTGAATGAAAACAGGATTTCTCTGTGTGTATTAAGCATCCTTCCATCCATTGCTGCTCAGAGAAATCTGTTATAAGGGGAGAACCTCTAGATCTGTTATAAAGGAGAAAAATCAGAACATACCTCTACTGAACTGATGGGACTAGGAGAATCTTTCAGAGGGACAGAGAGGAATAACCATTAGCAATTTTGATTAAAACAGGGGCAAACTGGCATGTCCCCAGATGACATCAAAATTCTCCAATTGTGACATCATAATCATCTCCACACCACTCCACTGTGATCTCTGACAGCAGACTGTGGCTCAGGGCTGGGTGTGGGGAGACAATACCTAAGGGGCTTTAAGAAAGGCAAGATGCTGCTCTTATGCAAAAATCCTTAGGAATACAAATAAGGGGAAAAGAAATATAGAAAATACCCATTGGGACCAGTGACTGACTGGCTGCTAGTGTCATGGTGAGAGCAGTTCAGATTGGAAGACATTTCTTCTGGCACAAACATAAAGAACCCGGTTGGTATTTGGTAGATCTTGCTGCATACAGAGCTGCTTGAAGGAATTCTTCCTGCTTGCAGACAGCCACACTAGAGGCAGGCGCTAGGGTTGAAGGTCCCATCATGAAGGGACTAGTGTTTGTTTAGAAAGAGAGTGAGCTCTGATAGCCTTTGTCATGTCCCTGTAGAGGAGATTGCTGTGAAGCCATCTCCCAGCCTTACCCCTTACTCCAAGTCCCACCACCCGAGCAGGGGGGCCAAAGCTGAAGCCCAGGGGCTTCAGCCCCAGGTAGAGGACCTGTAACCCTTGCCACCCAGGGCTGAAGGTGGTGGGGCTCAGGCTTCAGCTTTGATCCCAGGCAGGGGAGCTTGGGCTTCGACCCCAGACCCCAGCAAGTCCAACACCAGCCCTGGCGACCCCATTAAAACGGGGTCACGACCCAACTTGGAGTCCCAACCCACAGTTTAAGAACCACTGGCCTAGAGGTAAAACAGGCGTGGAATTTCAAAGCAGTGAAAAAGCACTAAAGTTGTGAACATGGACAGAGACTCCCCATAAGCCAGGAGGTATTTTAAATCAGTGGAGACTCCTGCTATGGGGCCTGTCTCTCCCCCAGTAAGGAGACAGAGCCTGATGGATCCCTGCATGGGAAAGAACAAATATGGGAGCAATAGACCCACTGTATGCTCCCCAATCTCTTCTAGACCAACATGCAAGATCAGCTCTAGAGATGACAGAATGAAAAAGCCAGTAGAACACTCAGCAGGACCCAAAGCACTTACCAGCTGGAAGGAGAGGAAGTGCAGTCTGCAGCACTCACACTAAATGATCACTTTGGGGCTGCAGCTAGTTGTCTTTCCCAGATTTAAAGGGCCAGCTACAAGATGAGCACATTCTGGGAAAGAACCTATAAAATGGGGATCTCAAAGCAGGGCATTCATTGGGGGGTGAGTAGTTCTGGTTGCTGTGTGACTGGATATAATGAAATTCCTACCTGTGTGAGATCCAGGGATTTGTAAGATGCCCTGAGACTGCCCCAGTCAAAGCCTGCTAGATTTTATATGGCTGGGATATTTACAACTGCCTTTTAGTGTCTTCTGCTTTGGCATATTGCATACAAACAAAATCCAGATTCCTCTGCTGCCTGCCTGGGATGTGCACTGGGCCAGCCATGCTTGCCAGTGGAAGCCCTGGCATCCTGCCTCTGCAGAGATGAGAGGGGAGCTGGGAGCAGGAGGCTGCCTTCCATGGCCTACTTCTCTCCAGATTCTAAAATGGTTCTGCTAGAATCACCATCATCTTACCCCTGCGCGTGCCCTTCCCCTTGGCAGAGGAGCCCAAACTTCCACATAGACACCCCTGCATCCAGGGGAGCAGGGCTTCCCTTCCCAGCAGGAACAGCAAGGTTGGGAGGCCATGTCCTTTGAAGGAAGGTTAGTGAGAAACCTCACAGTGTTTCCTGGGTCCCTCCTGCGGCAACTTCACATGGGGGAAGAGGAGGATAGCACCCATCACTGGAACTTCCCAGGTGTACAGTGAGGTTACTAGTGGACTTCAGGGAGTTTCCTGCTCTTCTGCCTGTCACTTTTGGGTTTGTTCTCTGACACACCAGAGAGATTGGAAACAACCTCCTGTGAGCAAGGAGGGCACCCATAGCTCAGATCAGTTAATTCCAGAACTTCAGTACAATGTCTATTTCTTACCCCTCTAGCAAAGCTGCAGACAGTGCCCCCTGCTGGGAGAACACTGCTGCTGTTATTCCTTAAAGTAGGCAGTAATTTTGAGAATGGCCAAACACTAATCTACGGCAGCAACAGGGTTTGCGGAGGCAGGACGCACACAAACCTGTGCATAGGTCTGGGGCACATGGGTGGCCAGCTCCGTGACTGGTGTGTGTGTCTGCTGCAGATACAGTCCATATTGTTATCTGTATCTTTGTGTTTCTGTCATGACAGAGCCAGCAGGGATCTTTAATGAAAGAATTTGGTCTGCAGGCAGCTGAGAGCTGGGGGAGCCAGCAGAGAAGTGAGTTGTAACTGTGTATGTACAGGTACCAGCGTTAGCAGCCAGCCTCATCCCTGCAGCGCTGGGGAATAGATCTCCCACAGGAAAGGCCAAAGGACACAACAAACACATAAATGGCCCTTCCTCATCCTTCCTGGCCCAGAGAGAGGGCAGAGACATGCCAGCCCCTCTGTTACACATTGACGACAGGCTGCTGTTGTCTGGATTAGACATTAGCACAGCTTCTCCAGCCCCAGGTCTCCGCTGCTCCATATAGGGCTGTTCCCCAGAATTTCTAGTGTTGTCTTCCCCGTTTTCCGCCACGCTCAGTGTGTAATGTGGAATCTCAGGAGAGGCCATGCCAGGTTTTTAAAGAAAGCGTTAAACATATTACTCTTTATTTTAAAAAAAAATAAACCAGTCTCCCCCGCTACCCCATGGCCCCTCATTCCCAGCGCTCCTCTCCTGGGAGCACTCACTGGTGAAGTCTCCAGCTGACTGCTCACATGGAGACAGGGTTCCTGTGTCACATAGACCCATGCGAGGGTCCCAGTGCAAACAACAGAACAGGGATTGGTGCCAATTTGCAAACACTTCCCTTCTCTGTTGATCTGAGATTTAACCTCCCTGAAGATGCCTCCTGGTGTTCTGCCATATCTGCACCGGGGCCAACTCCTAGACATGTGACCCTGGGCCTGGCTCAGTAGACGCTTGAAGGAAGGGCAGGAATAGCTGTAACAGTCCATGTCCCTCCTGCGAACCAAAGAGTGAGCCCCGTGGGGTCTCTGATTTCCATTTGTGGAGCCTGCAGGCTGCGTGTCCTTGTGGCTGGGCTCAGTGCTGGAAGCGTGGGGAGCTGATGTGGGGCTGGTGGAAGGAGTGTGTGGCATACAGCACCTCCGGGGGCGGTTGGGGCACCGTGGTCAGGATGGAGCAGAGGGGCTCATGGGAGCTCAGCATTGAGGTGAAATGCTTCATTTCTTCTGTCAGCTGCTTGATCTCCCTGCGCAGGGCAGCGTTCTGCCTCTCCAGGTCCTCGCTCTCCTGAGGGCACAAAAGCAGCAGGGACTAGATTAGCGTTCTGCCCGCAGAGCCATCAAAGGGGTGGGGGGAATTCTGGGTGGAAAACTGGCTGAGCAGTGTGGCCAGAGGGGGTGGGAGGTAGAGGGAGATGGTATCTCTGCAGAGCAGCAGCCAGAGGACAGCTGGGTTAGTGCTCAAACTGCAGGGGGAGCTGGCTCCCATCTATGTTATTATTATACATTGATATTGCTCTGGTGCCTAAAGCAACCAGCTGAGGACCCCATTATGCCAGGCACTGTACACACATATAGGAAAATGACAATCCCTTGCCCCAAAGAATTTACAGTCCAGGAGACCAACATAACAGTGGATAAGACAAATAAGCAGGGGTGCGGACGGGGGGAACAGGGTAGGATGTACACACTTCTCAGCCAGTCAGGAGCAGTGATCACAATTCGCCCCCTGCCTAACAATTCACAGGTTGCAGTTTCCTTTGTGCTTTACAGAAGAGACAAGTTTGAGGAGGGACTTGAAAGAAGATAAGGGGATGGCTTTTCTGATCTATCTGTCTGTCTGTCTATCAGCACCTTTCAAGTGTCTGGCTGTCACTGCAGTATCTCAGTGCTGCTGGGAGCAGTTAGAGCTGTCTCAGTGGGGTGACCAGATGTCCCGATTTTATAGGGACAATCCTGATATTTGGGGCTTTTTTTTAATATGGGCTCCTATTACCCCCCTCCCACCCCTGTCCTGATTTTTCACACTTGTTATCTGGTCACCCTATGCCTCAGGGAAGGGGCTGGGGGTATCTGGGTAGGGGGAGAGAGGTCTGAGCCCTTCATCTGACTACCCCGGAGAGTTTCCACAGTGACACATTTCCTGTAAATTCAAAGCGGCGCTGTGTCTGGGCAACTCCCACCCCACCCCCAGCCAGCCAGGGGTCCTGCCACGGAGCCAGTGACATTCTCAGCCCTCAGCCGCACTCTCTCCCCAGCAGCTGCTTACGAGAAGTGACAGCAGCACCAGCACGTTCCCCGCCCAGGCGCTCACAGCTCCCTCTCACGCACACACCTCCCAGGCCACATCCCGACCTGAGGCAGATTGGCCTGGGGGGAGGGGATGATAAATAACCGCCGTTATAATCAGAAATAACCAGAAAACCACCTGTCACAGGAAACCTGTCATTGCCATGGTAAGACAAGACTCACTGCTTCCTGCCAGCGCCCGGGGAAACCAGACGTATGGCAGGGAGGGGGAGGGACATTGATGTGACAGAAAGAAAGAGGGAAACTGAGGCCTCAGAAGAAAAAAATGAATAATAATGGTGGTGATGATGTACAGTCCTGCCTAATGGTACTCAAAACGCATGACAGACTGTATGCACCCCTCCTGAAAAGCAGCCGTCACTAGCATGGAACACCTCAGCCACTGAACAGCACCCCGCAATGCTACTCAGCATTTTGAGACAGGACCTGAAGAATCCTATGTCCAGTTGAAACCACAGTGGGGATTTGGAGAGACAGAATGTTGGAACCTAGGTTGAAATTTAGCCAGGCTACTGGGGCACTGAGACTCTATGGACAGTGCTATGAGATCTTGAATGACTGTTTACCATGCCCTATGGCCCCCAAGGGCTAAATAGCTACCCTGCTAGCCACTCATCCAAAACAAAGCCGCCTGCCACATCTCTGATCACCCCGCTGGGATTGCTAGTGGCAGGAACCTGATATATAAAGGTCCCTATTGCCTCAGTATTGGGGCACCTTGCACTAGTTAAAACAAACGCACCACCAGATATTAACTGCCACAGCAGGACCTTGCAGAAGGGAGAAGGGATCTCTCAGATCACTGGGTCCCACACAGCCTAATGCTTCACAGATCTTAACCAACTCCACACTCAGAAGCTGACAAGAAGCCAGTCTGGGAGTTATAGGCTCTTAATGACTCACTCCACTCAAGCAACAAGCCACTCTGTTCTGCACCAGTTAAAACTTCTGGATCCTTTTAAAGTGATTACAGTGGCCTGAACTGACCATTGACACTGGAAAGTCCTGCGTCCAAGAGGCACTTTCACAGCCACTATGCCTATCAGAGATGAAAAGCGTTTGGGGATCCATTATAATCCAGAGACTGGAAACTATATTGGCCAAGATTTGACAGGCATCTCCAGCAAAAAGGTGCAATCACGTCTCTGTCCCATTCCTCCAGCTGTCTCCCCTACCCATTAGCGTCAGTTCTGTCTTATCCAGGTTGATCTTAAGTTACTTTGCTCCCATCCACATCCCCACCTTTGCCAGGTACTAGGGGCTTGTCTTCACTACCCGCCTGGATCGGCGGGTAGAAATCAATCTCTCGGGGATCGAATTATCGCATCTCGTCGGGACGCGACAATCGATCCCCGAATCGACGCGCGTACTCCACCAGCCCAGGTAGGAGTAAGTGCCGTCGACAGGGGAGCTGCGGCGGTCGATTTGCCACCGTCCTCACAGCGGGGTAAGTCGGATCGGATACATCGAATTCAATTTGCGTATCTTAAATCGACTCCTCCCCCCACCCAGTGTAGACCTAGCCTAAGAAAACAAAGAGATTGTCGTATCAGTGTCATCTGCACCATGGTAAAACTGCAAGCCACATGCCTCACTGTCTCCTCCAGCAAGGGGAATGCCTTGGGACACAGCAGGGGAGGGCCCGAGGAGAGGAAAAGTCAGTACTCATTCCTGCTCTCTGAAGTCTCTGGGAGAGAAAATAACAAACCCACTGAAAGGCTTTCCAATCTGCTGCTGTGAGCTGCAGCAGATTAGTGACTAACCCCGCGATTGTGGTATCACATGACACTGACAGAGCTAACTAAATCAGCATGGACCAGTGTACACCTCTAAAAGGATCATCAGCCATGGATAGTGAGGAACACCTTCCCTGTAATGAACCCACTACTAAAGAAGCATTGAGGACACCTGTGCAGTCAGGCTGTGGCAGAAGCTGCTCTAACACCACTTGCTCAATAATCCTTCCCATAGTGGGGATAGATGAGGGTGTGGAGGCTTCTAAGGTCAAGGGACAGCATCTTGAGCAGAAGCCTGACCACTCCCTGTTTAAAGGGAAGTCTAAGATTTAATTACACAAACTCAGGAGTCATACCCTCCTGTTCTGACACCACTCCCATGCCTGTTACCTGCAGCCAAATAGGGTCCCTGGAAAAGTAGATGCCAAATTCCTTACACTGAGAAAAGTGGCTTTGGGCAGTAAGTGGGAGTCGACAGCCTGACACCCCATCCATTGGAATAAATTGCCTAGGGAGGTTGTGGAATCCCCATCTCTGGAGATATTTAAGAGTAGGTTAGATAAATGTCTATCAGGGATGGTCTAGACAGTATTTGGTCCTGCCATGCGGGCAGGGGACTGGACTCGATGACCTCTCAAGGTCCCTTCCAGTCCTAGAATCTATGAATCTATGAATCCCACCCCCCCAACCCCACTGCACAGTCCCAGTGTGGCAATATGGCAAAGAAACAGGGTGAAACTAAGAGAGGCAAGATGTATGCTGGATATCAGGACCGTGCAAAGTATTCAGCTGTGGAGCTCTCTCCCAAGGGAAGGGGTAGGAGCCTCACCACTGGGGACATTTAAAATTAAACTGGACAAAATGCTAGTATCATACAATGGGGAATTATCCTGCATAGATGGCAGGCAATGGACTGATGGAGACCTAATGGGGCTTTTCCAGCTCTAGGGCTTGATTCTCCTGGCTTTGCACATTGTATCATCATTTAAACCTACGCACAGCAAACATAAAATGCTACCAAGTCAGAATGGCAGCGTTTTACATGCTCTTTGCATGGATATGAGAGGTGACAAGAAGTGCAAGGCGAGGGAGTGTCTGTCCTTGTGTATTTAGGCTTTTAAAGGATTTTTGAGACAGTCAGAAGAAACTAAAAAGGTAACGATAAATTCAGGGCAAGAGGTAAAGTCTTGCCACAGATTAAAAACTGGGTGCAAAAAGTAGGACTATGTGGGCAATTTACAGCTCAGAGAGAGGTTGAGAATGGGGTCCCTCAGAAATTAGTCCTAGCGGCATGGTTATTCACTGTATTTATCAATGAGCTGGAAGGGTGGTAACATTTGCTGATGACACAGAATTAATAAGGCTGATCAAGAGTAGGTAGGAATTCCTGAGGGACCCCATAACACTAGGTGACTGGGCAGAGGAAATTCATTGTGGACAAGTGCAAGGGGAAGGTGCACACTGCTGGGTCTGAAATACAGGCGGATGTCGCCAGCCAGAGAAGGCATCTGCTGTGTGCACAACAGCAATCAGAACTGCAAATAAAGGGGCCTCACCCCACTCCCATTGCAGCAAGTGGCAAAATTTCCATTCACGTGCATGGATCAGGATCAGACCCAACGTGTTATTGCGGAATGGAGAATAATATGGGAAAGAATATACCTCTAACGAAGAGAGGTACATTCCTCATTCCTCCCACCCAACCCAGGATCCTGCACTCAGCTTCAGCCATCTCATCTCCAAAAGGACAGAAAGAGCAGAAACAAAAGGTCCAGAGAATATGAGGAGGAACCAAGAGGATAGGCTTCAGCAGAGGTGACTTTCAACAGAGTACACCTGTTCCATTTTGAAGGGAACATCTGGCTGCTCCTGGAAGGAGCACCCTTCACCTTCACCATCCAGCTGCTGCTAGAGCTGCCGTCACATGCTATGCTGGCCCATGGTCTTCCAGCCCCTGCCTGAACTGAATGGCTGTGCTGTGTGTTCATCTGTGCTAGAACATGTCCCCTTATGTGTGCAAGGCCCCAGTGATCCAGATGGGGAGAGAATGGAAGCTCTTACCAAGTGCAGGGTGTCTGCCTTCTGGGTCTGCCTCTGCCTGCTCTTCTGAGCTGCGATGCGATTCTTCTCCCTCCTCTGAACTTTCCTCATGTCATCAGAAGAATCCTGAAAAATACAGGACCTGGGAATGACAGAGACATCACCTCCACTACTATAGAGAGGCATGAGGTCAGGGGTACAGGGCAGAACAGCCCCAAGCGAACATTCCTCTCAGCAAAGATCACCACACCCACTCTTCTGGCCACATAGGCCACATATCCCTGTCTGACATACAGCATCAGTGCAAAACCAGGGTAGAGGTGCTCTCCTACTACAAGGATGTGTGAGGCACTTAACAGCCACCCCCTGAGATGTAATTCTGTAATCTGGACATGCTGGTAGAACTGGGAAGTGAACTCTGTCTCCATGGTACAGGCTTGGGTTGTAACCCGCAGAACCACAGGAGTCAGAGATGAAAACAATAAACCTGTTGGATCACCCAGTCCAACCTCCCCAAGGGCCAGGGCAGGTCTGTCCCCTATACAGCACTTTTTTATTCTTTGTGCAGTAGAGTTTCCAGTGTCCCATGCCAATGGGGCTCCCGCCCTTCCCCTGGGAGATGATTCCACTGCCTGACTTATCTCACTGCCAAGGAGTCAATCCTGGCATTCAGCTTGCTTTTTGCCTTTCTTCATTTCATCCTATTACTCCTAGTTCCCATATGTCACCCTAAATAATTGCCCTTCTATTCTGGGGTTTATCTGTTTCATACATTTGCAGTTATGTCCCTGCTTAGCTCAGCTACAGGCTCAGCTTTTTTTATCTTTCCCCCCGACTCAGTCACTACAGACCCCTGATCGCTTTGTTTGCTCTTCTCTGAACTCCCTGCGTTTTAATGTCTTGCTGCTAATGTGGTATCCAGAATTGGCGGCAATATTCCAGGTCACATTTTCACTGGAGTTATGCAGAGAGGGGCTATGCCCTCCCAGCTCTGGGATGTGAGGTCTCTTTGCTTGAAGATCTCACTCCTCAGTGTCATTCCGCAGCCATTCCGGCATTCATTGTTATTAATTCTTATTTTTATTATTTATTATTATTATGGAAGGTTCTCTGCTGAGAACTGATCCTCCCACTCTCTCTGGCAGCTAAAACCTTCATCAGATCCTATCATTTTCTGTCTTCCACTGTAACTGCTGCCTCTCTGGACTCTCTGACACGTACACCACCTACCTCCTCTGCTTGCAAAATGCAGCCTCTAGAGTTATCTTCCTGAACCATCAGTCTGTCCCTTTTCTCCCTCCCCCAACTTTGTGATCTCTCCATTTCCTCAAATGTAAACCTCACATCCTTACCTTCAATTTCCTTCCTCAACCCACCCCAGCCAACATATCCAGCCTAGCCTCTTACCTTATTGCCCCCAGCCCTGCACAGTGAAGATCCCAATCTGGGTACCCCACTTGTCTACGTCCCCCTTGACTGCTGTTAAGCCTCATTCCCTTCTAGACAGAGTGCTCTCCCAATCCCTGTTTGCCCAGCCAGCACCATCTACTCAGTGTTTGTCTGTAAGCTCCTCGGGGGTAAGGTCCCTCATATCTGGTGTCCTGCGCAGCACCATGTGATTAACAGCTAGCAAAGAATAAAGTTACCAATACAGGTATCCAGAAAAGAAGATGGAATCACCCGGGACACGTCTTAAGAATAACCCCGTGGCAGGCATGCCACCGGACAGCCGGAGGAACACACAAAAGGGGCCCACTCAAAGAATCCCTCATACAACAGCATTTAGACAGGGAAATTTATGGGACTTAAATAGAAAAGGTGCAGAGAGCAGCTCAGGATAGACAAGGATAGTGGAGCCTCACTCATGCCCTAAGTGATGTCTGATGGCACGGGAAGGATTTGGATTCAGAATGAGATCCTGACCACATGCTGGGGGAGGGCTCAGAGCCCACAACAGGGTCTCTGCAGAGACACTTGTACTCTCACTTTATCAAGCTCCCAGCCTGCTGGATGCCTGGAGTTTGTGGGGTGGCCCCTGCAGTCAGAACCAAGCATTTCAGGTGCCGCCCCTCATGTGGCCTGTGCTAATGTGTTTCCTCTGCAAAAACACTCCTCACTCTGTCCTTTGGTTTTAAGCTTGTTCCTGCATGGGGGCTTCCTGCTTAGCTCTCTGTGGCCTGGTTTACATGGGGGGTTTAGTTTGCACTAACTCAAGCCAGGTTGCATTGAAAACGCCTGCATGGACACAATACAAATCTTTAAAGCGCAGTAACTCCCTGTTTGCTGCAAATTCTGTACTCCACTTTCAAAGTGGAGTAAATGCACGGTGGACTGAGTTAGCGTGTCTCTCCCCAGGCTGGTTCCTAGAAAGCCCTGCCATTCTGCGCTGTGAAAACACCCCAGGATGGGAGCATGGTTATAAAGAATTCAAAGTGTTACCTGTTTGCTAGGTGGGGGTGACTGGCTGAAGCTGCTGGAGTCGCTGCTGTCAGAGCTATGGGGCATGGCTCGCGTCCCTCTGCCCAGGGCCTCTTCTGCTTCCTCTGTGTCCTTGGTGATCTTGGTTTCCTTTGGCTTTTACTCACCCCTCCCTTCCCCTGCCGTCTTTCCCTCTCTCCCTTGGTTACTTTCTTTGCCTCTTTCCCCGTCCCTCTCTTGGTCACGTTGTTGCTCTCCCTGTGTCACTTTCTCTGCCACTCTGCCCCAGTCCCTCCCTGCACCTCTCTCCTCTCTGTCACTGCACCTTGCAGTGATGTCTAGGTCTTAGGCTCCTGTGGTTTCTCGGAAGCTGCGAGGGACGTAAGCTGAAAGTCACATGGGCGGAAACTTTACGAAGAAGAAAAAAAGTTACATTGAGAAAAAAAACACACACATCTGGGAAAAACGAGCTTCAAAATAGCTTGAAAAACCCCCGACACCTTCAGGCGGTTTGAGAAACAGCGACAAAGTTTCAAATGAGACAAACAACCGGAGAGAAAAAAACCTAGCACAAGCTGCAAAACTCAGCCCCTCAGAGAGTAGGAGGTGGCGCATGGAGACACAGAAAATGCCAAAGCCGCTCATTTGTAAATGTAGCAAGCAGGGAGTTTGATCACGTGCCAGGTACCCTGGGCTCCCCACCCCATCTGCCAAGCCCAGCTTGGGAAGTTCCCTGACAGACTGAGTTGCAGACCTCCCACCTTCCCAGCCATCCACCCACCAAACAGCTGAGGTCCCCAGAAGTGACGTGGTTTGCAGGGGTCCTGGAGAGGAGACCAGGGCCATTGGCAAGTGCACGCACAGGAGATCTTTTTGTGCAGATGGTTCTGCATCTTTGGTACACAGGCTTCTGAGAGTGCCAAACCCCCCAGAAGAAGGAACATTGGGAGCAGGGTGGGGACTAGGTTGACAATATTAATAGTTTCTGTTAGCCAAAGCTCTCCAAGCACTTTAAAACATTAATTAATTAAGCTTCAACTCCCCACCACCAGCCTGGGAGGAACATATTATTATCCCTGTTACGTATGCAGGGAGACTGAGGCACATAGATGGGACGTTGCCATCAATAGCAGAGCCAGGAATCAAACCCAGGAGTCCTGACTCCCAGTCCCCACCCCAACCAACCACTAGACT